AACCACTATGTTGATTGAGTTGCATTGCCTTACTTAAATTCACACACATATTTGTTTTATAGTTGTGTACTTTCTTTTTAAAAATGTATATATTTTTTATTGATTTCAGAGAGGAAGGGAAAGGAAGAGCAAAAAAAACCACATAAATGATGAGAAAGAATCATTAATTAGCTGTTTTTGCATGCCCTTTACTGGGGACCAAGCCCGCAACCCAGGCATGTGTCCTTAACTGGAATCAAACCCAGAACCCTTGAATCCTCAGGACAACACTCTATCTACTGAGCCAAACTGGCCAGGGTTAGTTGTGTACTTCTCAATAAAAAGAGGAAATTAGTACAGAAGGGAAATACATACCTCTGAACCAGGGTGGGGGTGGGCGGCAGTGGGGCTAAGAAAATGAATCTTGTCTCATTCAGGGAGTTAGAGACCATCCATGTTAAAATAAACAGTGTGGAATTAATGAAATCTAATCTTTGTGGAGTACTGCAGGCCATCAATGTTTAATGGCAAATATCATAAGAATTTGATAGAGGATTGAATAAAGAAGTGGTACATACATGCAATGGAATAGTACTCAGGCATAAGAAAGGATGACATACTACCATTTGTGACAATATGGATGGACCTTAAGAATGTTATGCTAAGTGAAATAAATCAGGCAGAAAAAAGCTAAGAACCATATGATTTCACTGGTATGTGGGATATAAAATTAAAACTCGTGAACACAAACAGCAATGTGGTAGCTGCCAGAGGGAAGTGGGTGGAGGGGGTAGATGAAGGGGGCCTAAGACATGGTGGCAGAAGATGATGTGATTTTGGGTGGTGGGCACACAGTAGAATATACAGATCTTGTAACATAGACGTCCACACCTGAAACCTATATGATCCTATTAACCAATGACACCCCAATACATTTAATTTAAAAAAGAATTTGAACTGGTTCCTTGAAAATGAGCTATGACCACAATATTAAAACTTTTTTTGTTAGACCACCAATACTTTTTCTATAGCTTGCTCCATTTTGTGTATTACTTGTCAGTCTTTGTTAAGGTGGCATGTTTTACTTATGAATTAAAAGTTTTTCATTTCCTCCAAAATATTATAAGCCTTTATACTTATCATTTTAATTGATACATATTTTAATGGGTACATAATTATTAATATCAATATTTATCAAAAGCAGGAATTAAATTGCTCTACCTAAATAGAACTAGGAGAGATGTAATGTATGTGAATTATAATAATATAAATGTAATGGTACATAGTAATAGTCAAATTATATAAATAATTTATAATACCAATATTATGTACTGAATGGCTTTAAATAGAAGCATAAATTCCTTAATGATTGTTTTGTTTTGTGTCTAAGAGAATGTAAACATTTACATAAATTCAGTTTGATTGAAGAATATCTTAAAGTTTAGGAAGTTACACAGCATACTTCCTTTTAACAATACTGTAGATTTACATAGACATTTTTAAAAGAATACGATATAAACCTTTAGAGCAGCACTCTCTTAAGCACCGGAAAAATCATTATCTTCTCCAGTTCTTTCCATTTCTGTCATAAGCAGCATAGGGAGCAGAACTATATATTTTGGTAATTAATTTCCTTAAGATAATGTTAGAAACATCATGTTCTTTGAAATATAAATGAATTTCAAGGTGAGCATGCTAGAGGATAATATTAATGGCATATGATTTATTGTAACAAGAGATCTGATCTGAAACACCATTATTAGGAGTACTTAAAAAAGTCCATTTGCAAATTCCTGAAAATATGAGAGAGTGCTATGGCTGAATCTGTCTCAATGTTGAAATCTGAAAATCTGTCCTTGTAAGAAAGAAATTGTTCTGTACGATATCTGGCATGCCTTCATCGTCAGAGATTTAGGAAATGTTCATATCCAAAATATGCTGCATTGCAGTTTAGGAATTACCTAATGCTTCTAATTCTAAGTGAAGACAAGCTACAAAAATGTAGATCAAAATGCTCATGCCTAAATAACTTGGTAATATATGTAATTTTAGAGCTGATTGTAATTTTAAGATATTGTTAGCCAATAGTACACTGAGCACCTACTATTTACCTGGCATTCTTTGAGCAAACATCAGCACATGTGACCTACAATAATCTAGAAGGCATTTACTATGTTACAAGTGTTTCAAAAGAAATAGTTTTTGAATGTTTACATTCTCTTAGACTCAAAACAAAACAATCATTAAATCATATAAGCAAGATATGCCTGTTTGTCAAATTTTCAAATAATTTGCAATAAGATGTAATTTTACATTTTATAAGCACATCAAAGTGCACAAATATATGGTTGGAAATGACAGGTAACCCCACATATTGGGCAGTGAGAAATGTCATAAAGTAGTATTGCAATTGACAATAAAAAATTAAGTGGATACATGTGAATAATATGTTTCTATCATTAAGAAAAATGAAAATTACTATAGGGAACAAGATTCATTAGCCTCTGACATGAGGAAGGATCATAAATACTGGAATTCTTATATATTTGCTGTCAAATTTTTAGGTATCGCATAAATATATTGATATACCTCTCTGTATTTTTAATTTTTTTATTTTTTATATTTTATTGATTTTCCACAGAGAGGAAGGGAGAGGGACAGAGAGCCAGAAACATCGATGAGAGAGAAACATCCATCAGCTGCCTCCTGCATATCCCCCACTGGAGATGTGCCCGCAACCAAGGCACATGCCCTTGACCGGAATCGAACTCGGGACCCTTCAGTCCGCAGGCCAATGCTCTATCCAGTGAGCCAAACCGGCTTCGGCTGTACTTTTAATTCTACTTTCTCCCTCCTCCCTCCTCCATATCTCTCTGTTTTTGTCTCTATCTCTGCTGAATAAGTTTTATGCAAAAATGCCTTAAACATCATTAAACTTTTGTTCCCATGTGTATTCCTTAAAGCTGTTAATAGGCTATTAAATTGTGAAAACCCTGAAGATGTACACTGCATGCTGCATTTTCCAAACAGCACTTATTTTGCTTGAAACCTATTTTAATGTATGAATATTGACACATGAACACTTTATAGGATGGCATCGGATAAGCAAAGGCAAGTCAATTTGATCATATGGTTTTATATACATTAATAAATATGTTCATTTTGAGAATATTCAAAATTAATTACTAAATGCTAAAATCTACTACATTTTCATCTATTTTATGAAATAAAATTAAATCTTATAAAATAAAAATGTTCTAGAAATGAATCTTATAGGTGTAAATGTATAATTAGATTACTTTCTACTTAAATTTATAATATGTGTGGCACAAATTTAAACAGTACACAAAAACATAAAATAAAATCTCCACTCCACCCAACTACTTTAAATGTTTCCTGTTAATCCTTCTAAAGACATTATGTAGAAATGCACACATATGTATTTTTACATTTTCTTAGAAACAAAACTTATAGCTATCTGAGCTAGGAGAGAAAAAGCAAACTATAACTCCATGATTTATGATTTGCAATGTAAGAAAGAGCTCAAGGCAAAACATGAAATAGCTGTTCGAAAGAAGTTGTTGCTTTTTTAAAAAATCCTTAAATCCTCACCCGAGCACATGCTTTTATTGATTTGAGGAGAGAGAGAGAGAGAGAGAGAGAGAGAGAGAGAGAATGAGAAAATATTGATGTGAGAGCGAAACATCAATTGGCTGCCTTCCCCACACACCCTAACCATGAATGGAAGCCAAAGCCTAGGCCTGTGCCCTGACAAAATGCTCTAACCAATTAAGCCCCAGCAGCCATGGCAGAAATAAAGTTTCTATACATTTTGCTAAAACATTTAAATAGATAAAATTAATAAAAAATCAGAAAGGATCTCACTAATCATGAAACTAATTGCTATGATGGTTCTCATATACAGTAATATACTAAAGTCTAGAGATTAAAAAAAAATCTAAACTAATTTTGACATCTTAACAATATTTTTATGAACCTACATGTAAGAAAATTACATCAATATACTGGTTACATTATTAAAATAAATAGAAGGATTTCAGAGGCAGTTTTCTAATAAGTGGTCTGTAAAATTCATGACACAATATCAACCAAACCAAATACAGAGACCATAGAGTCCTTGGCTCTGAACATTAACACATATGATTCTGATTATGAGTTTGTAACTTCATGAAATGAACAGTAGGAATGGGTATAACTGAAGCAAAAGATAATTCACTTCTGCTGCCCCATTTTTCCGGGAGAGTAGAGAGAGCCATTATTTCCTTCTAGAAATGGGAGGATGCAAAGCCAAAACTTTCCCTATATCATTGAATGTCAGAAAAAGTGTCAATGCCTACATTCTGGAGAGGAAAATGTCACATATTATATAGTGGCAACACTAATTTTGGTCATCAAAGCTTTTCTCTTTGATGGAAACATTTTTAAAGGCCTGGGGTTGTAGGAGGGAGTGGACTGGCATGGGTCAATAGGGGGAAATAGAGGACATAATTTCAACAATAAAGATTTAAAAAGGAATAACGTACTTCGTTAGCATTGATATATCTCTGGTTCAATTTCCACTTAGTTGAGGCCAATATTGGTCACATAATATAAAGGATTAGAGTCCCAACATGGGACTCAACATGATATTTATGTAATATACAGTTACTTATCAAATTAGAAGTCCATGTTTTTCCTTTGGGTTTGGGAGGATCAAATCTTCCTATTAGTGATGTAAAGACTTCAGAATATCTTAATAAAATATTATTTTCACCTTATGCTCAAAATCTTTCTTTTCAGCATGTGGCAATGGACTATAGACGAACACGTTGCCTTGTCCATTATAACCACTTTGAAACCTAAGGGGAAAGTTTGAATTCCTTTACACACTGTCTTTATGCCGGCACACCAAGCCTTATCCAGTCATTATATGTGAGATATTTTATGCCATCTGGGGATCTATTTCATGACACAATTTATTAACAGCGACCATAACTACAATTTTATCATTTGTATCTTACCTACTGTTGAATTTCTCTGGGTGTTTTTCTCTCATGATGTGGAATCTGTGTGCAATGGAGGCATCCTAAGGAGAGAAACAGAAAAGAAAAAACAGGGTATTTTAGTATCCTATTGTCCTTATGGAAATAAAGACAAAAAAGTTAATGAATAATATTTTGTTTTGGATGGTTTTGTTTGTTAATCCTCACTGAAGGGTATTTTCCCACTGATATTTAGAGAAAGGGGAGGGGTAGGGGAGAGACACAGAGAGAGAAATGTCAATGTGACAGAGACACATGGTTTGGTTGCCTCCTATGTGCACCCGGCCCTTGACTGGAATTGAACCTAGGACTCTTCAGTCCATGGACCAATGCTCTAACCATTGAGTCAATCTGGCTTGGGCATGAGTAACATTTTTAAAATATATATATTTTATTGATTTTGTACAGAGAGGAAGGAAGAGAGATAGAGAGTTAGAAACATCGATGAGAGAGAGTCATTGATCAGCTGCCTCTACTGGGGATATGCCCACAACCAAGGTACACGCCCTTGACCAGAATCGAACCCAGGACCTTTCAGTCGACACTCTATCCATTGAGCCAAACCAATTTTAGCATGAGTAACATTTTTAAATTAACTACTTCTTAACAATACCATTGCCAAGAAGATGTTGTGAATTAGAAAAATATGTAATTCACATTTCTGTGCAAGACTGATTTATTTCACCATTTCACCATTGGTCACTTGTCATATTTACTTCTAGGAATTGATTTATATTTCATTTATATATCCCCTTTAATAACTGGCTTTGGCTTAATGCTCAAAGTATGTGTAAAATAGAGCATATGAACATAACTGTTAAAAATTAGTTGAAAATATTGTTATTCTAGAGCCAGAAGGATGGCCTAAGTGGAGAAATGATGAGGTAGAAAAGCTCTTAGTCCTTTGAAATTAATTATGGTATGAAGAGGCCTATCTAGTCAAGGTAAATATACTACATGACTTCAAAGTGTGCTAAGAATGTTTTCAATGTGTCTTTATTAGTTGTTTGTTCCACACGCAACTTTTTGACATATATATCTTATCTTGCTCAAGAAAAAACAACAAATAGAAATTTTTCTTTTTGGAGAATTGGTGACAAGTGTAACTAAGCTCTAAGACACCAAATTTATGAATTCTGAATTCTAATAAATAGATGTTTCTTCCTTTTAGGAAATCCATTCGGAGTTTCTTTATTTTTAATTTTTTTTTTAAATCAAGAGTTTCTATGAGACAGAACCACACTGAGTGTGGGAGATTGGTGGATTACTGTGATTCAAGCTTTTCAAGTACAAACCATTCTTGCTGACTTTTAACAGTAGTCTCTCTTATTCCAAAGGAGATATTCTCCCATTCTTCATACACATGATTAATCACTTCAATGAGAAACTAATATATTTACCAGTCATCTCAATAGAAACGGGGCTATTGTGATTAACTGTTCATTCCGTTTCATAGTGGAGATACAAAAGAAAAAACCAAACACAGAGGAAATAAAGAAGTTATGTATTTGAGAGAACTCTGAAAACACTAATCAAGGACGAAAAGTCTAATGAATGAAGTGAAAAGGCTAATGTGCTTATTCATGCATAACAAAGCATGAGGCACAACAAGAGAGGGACCAATGCCCACTGCAGATGGCAGAGCATTGCTTTTCCCTACAAGGCAGAGCTTGACAGAAATGTAATTTTTATGTACACTTTAGCCTCTAAGTTGTTGAGTAATTGAATTAATCCACAAGTGAAAAGAACACAAAGGAATGGATGAGTACCAATAAAAGTTACCAAAACAACCCTCTATTTTTTTGACATTCTAAGATACAACTTTGTTATGTATAGATGGTCAACTTCCCGGTTTGCTATGAAGCAGGGATATCTCTGTCCAATAGTATGAAATTAGAGAAAAAATATTGGCTTGGCTATTTATGATATATTATGCAGCATTATCATTAATTAAAAAATTTTAAATCATTTATTTTGACTTTTACACTAATCTGTTCCAAAAATCAATTTAGAATACCTCATAATTAAAAGGATACATCCACCAGAACAATAAAACAAAAGCAAAGGAATATGAATCAAGTACCAAGAATGAATGATCAATATTGGTTTATCCATAGGGAGACTATCATTGAGTTTACTTCTGTTTGAATTATTTGTTTCTGCAAATTTAGAGAACGAACTCAGACTTTCAAAAATAGATTGTATAGTATAATTTGCTTTATAAGCATATATTTTTGCAACAACAAATATCTCCCTTTTCAAAGGAAGATAAACAGGGATGGAGGGTGGGGTCGGGGAAAGAATATCAAAAGAAGACCATTTAAGTAGACTGAACTATAACTGAGCAAACTCCTGAAAACAGACTATTAAATAGCCAAGATAAACTTAATGTTAGCTCTATCTCCAGCATACTTAGGCAATGGATCATGCTGTAAATAGAGGGAAAATGAAAGACTACCGAGGAACACTGGCATGCCTTTTTCTTGTACTGAATGGGTTCCACCACAAAAAGAGCTGGTATTGCTGACTCCAGGATTGATAATGAACAATGACAGCAGGTGTTCATTTGGATAAGAATTCAGACCAAATTCTCATGGGGGCCTGTCCCTTTGGCATAATCCCAGGAGGCTTGAAAGAGAACTGCCAAATTCTATAAACTAACCCAGTAGCCATATTTTGGATTCTCTAAAAAGAGAATAAATAAGAAAAAGCTAAACTAGTGTTGTTGCTTTCTTTTGCTCATTCTGGCTCTATGTATTGCAATTTTTAGGAAACAAATTAAATTAGCATCTCTTATACACCCTAAAGAGAACAAACTATAAATTCAGACAGAGTTCACTTTCAAGACTAATGACTTTGAGCAAACTGTGAGTCACAACTTTGTTTTCTTTACAAGGGAATACTGGTACCACTTTACAGTATTCTAGTGAAGATATTTGGAGATTATTCTGTATGGCAAAATGAATAGTGTTCCTAATGTGAAAGAAACTTTAGATCCTACTAAGAACCATATGAGAAAACATAATTAAGTAGGGAAATACATCTTTTTAAAAGATAGGACATGTTATTAAAAATATTTCAATACTTCCAAAATTTATGTAGCAAGTCATATCTAATCCAAATACCAAAAGATTTGGCCAGGTACTTAAAGCAACTTGAATAAAAAATTATATTGAAAAAAAAAACAAGATAAAAATGATATTGATTTTATCTAACAGTATTAAACTTCTAAATAACCATCAAAATCTTTAAAAAGAGTAAAATAATTAAGGAAGGTGTCTCCAGCTCTACAAGATATGAAAATGTGTTATAAAACTAAAATAATTAAAATAATTTGCTACTGGTTCAGAGGTGACATAGGTATAGAGATAGCAGTTTATTGTAGTATAATTCCTTATGTCTTTTATCAAAGAGGGAAAGTAAATGACTTATAGCAATAGTATTTTCTGTGATCTATTTAGGTTTTCTGCCTGTACATAAATTAAGACAGTAATTTTCATTTATTAATCTGTACTGGACTCAAGCCCTCTATTTTAGTTGGCCAATCATGGGGCATATTAGATATTCTCACTCTTTTCACACATATGTAGGTAGCCTCATATGCCACACACACACACACACACACACACACACACACACACACACACGCGTGCGCGCGAAGGGAACCAAAGAAACTTTCCAACATTCTACCTGTCATCAAAAAACATGTTACTGTTTCCAAACATACCATCTCTTCAGTTATAACAGAAGTCTGTTATAAAAATTCTGTTATAAAACAATTCCCTGAACCTGTGCTTGGGATCTTATCCCTTCTCAATCTCTTAGGAACAACAATTCATCAAGAATTTATATTCTTCTTCTTCTGTACTCAATCCTCTCCCTCTCTATGGGCTCTTTTTCCTTGACATCGAAAATTGCTTAGGTATTAATAATGTAAAAATCCCTTAACCTGCTGTGCCTGCAAATTCTGGCACTTTCTATCTTTCATCCAGACTTCTTTAAGATCCTACCTAGAATGCCTAATTTCACTTCCTTTTCCTCACACACTGCAGTGGGCCTTTCTACTTCACTACTTAAAATTATTGACTATGATTTCTAGCTCTGCCTCCATTACTATCACAATGCAGTATGTAGTGTAACTCATCACTCTATTATAAATTATAATAGACCTTGACCTCTTGGCACTTTTTACCCAATTTCTTTTCCCTTCTTCCTTCTTTCCTTCATTCCTTTTCTACTTCCTCTCTCTTTCCCAATGTTCTCTCACCTTGACTTGAATCAAAACAATTCCTTGTTTTCCTCCTACTTTCCAGTTCAGTCTATCTCACTTTACTTGGCCAGCTACTCCTCTTCTACTTGTCTCTTCAGTAAAAGTCCTTGAGATTCTGTTCTCATTCACTTTTTTTTCTAACTCCAAACAATGGAAAGAAAAGGCCTGTAATCATGTTAGAGAGATGATACTAGATTCTAAAAAAAAAAAAAAAAAAAAAAAAAAATCATGGACATGGTTTAAACAGGGCATCATATTTGCATTTGGGAACAGTCACTTAGATACTGCATTGATGATTTATTTGGTGGGCTTACTATTGAGGAAACATAAAATAACTGCTGAGTTAGACCAGTAGTAGTGTGTATTTATGGAGAAGAAAGTAGTTTTTCATGAAGTAGTTAACAGATAAACACTGGCTTTAAGGATTGATTGGGTACTGATTGAGAGCTAAGAGGAAAGGAATGGATCAGAAATGACTTGCTGCTGTGTTAGTTTGGATAAGTGGACTGATATTGTATCTCCTGCTGTGATAGAAAAATGAATAGGAAGTTCAGGAGAGATGACAAAGTCTTCTTTGGTCACAGTGAAACTTTTTGTCTAACTTGTTGTTGAAATTATAAAACCTAGTTTTAAAAAGTGCACTCAAAGATTAAATGGACACAACTGTTACCCACATCAGATTTTAAAAAAATAGCACATTTGATGATCTCTTCAATACAGTCTCTATAATGAGAAGCTGAGTGTTAGTCCTTTAACATTTCCTATGGAGCCTTG